GGATAACTTAAAGAAGTAAAACGATTCAAGGGTCATCCTGAGCAATTGTATCTGAGATTAAATCCAACTGACGCTTCATTTTGCCGTCGCGCTAAATCACTCTCGCCGTTTTCACGAGACGGTGTTATTGGATAATTTATTGATCCACGATATTGGCTTAGACGACATCAATCACCTATTATTAAAAGGACCAGTTCGTCATAAATGACGAACGTAACATAATAACGGTGCATGAAAGGAATATAATTACTGCTGTGCTACAATGGAAGTATGATCCTTTTGAAGTTCGAATAATGAGACAAGGTACGCGTAACCGGTTGCATGCTGCGTGCATTCATAGCTCGTGTGTGAGTAATATATGTGAATTAAGTACGCATGTCTGACTCACAATGCAATCTTCGTGGTATCTACACGCGCTGTAACACGCAAGATATCGCGCCATTGATCCGTTTTTCTGCGGTACGCCACCGAAATTCAAAGAATGCAGCGTATCCATTTACACTTTATTTTTCGCTTTCCAGCGACAGACTCGAAAGAAAAGTAGATGTTACGCTGATGAATACAATAAATTTCCTTTTCGCGTATGTATTTTTTATTCGAATACTACGCTGACAAAAACTTTTTTAACAAAGTAAATACTTATTTTATTTAAATAAAAATATCAAATTTGAAGTAAATTTATGTATTATATTAAGTAAATTAATTTAAATCGGTACATTTTCTACATTCAAATAAAGATTTCATGAAATATAGAATACTATTGTTAATTATTTCATTTAATGTTTATTAAAGTGTAAATTGTTTAATTTAAATTGTTTAATTTAAAATTATCTATTCCTTAATGTTTAATAAATACTTAAATTAAAGTAATGCATGTTTTAATTTGTTTATTATATATGTTTAAGTTAATAAGTTATTAGGAGCCACCTAATGAATAATTTTCTTGAGTAAAGTAAAATTTTTTTTGATTAAGATATTTTTTATCAGTGTAACACTAGCTTTTCTCTCTCTCTTTCTTTCTCTTATTAGTTTTTCTGTAGATATATTAAGAAAAGTTTAATAGGACTTTATTACGAAACAGCATTTATCAAGTATATAGAAATAAGGTGTCTATGACATCCGCATTAAAAAATTTATTGCGAGAGAAAACGTTTTATGCAGAAAAAAGCTGGAAGAAGTGCCATTTCTTTCAAACGTTTACTATCGGTAACTTGTATAAACCGGCGTATAAGTCGTCGTCAGGAAGGTTGTCCGATGTTGTATGATAAATTTCGGAAACACAGTCTACCATGCGTGAAATCATAGCTTTTGCTGACGGATATGTGCAGTGACACATTATTAGAGCAAAGGAATATGTACGAATATCTATGCAATGATACATATGAATATTTCGAAAACTCATTGTAAAACGTCGGACAACCTTTCTGACCACGACAGAGTCGTATGACAAATGACTCTCGAACTCCATTTATGCCGACTTAACGAAACGTGAGAGACTATCCATCTTCGATTCCTGCTTAGAGTAGTTAGTCTTCTCAGTATCGCGCAACATTCACCGGAGGCGTCAACCGGATTTCAACCTTTTCACGTCACGAAAGTTGGAAGTTTCCACACCGAGAAACAGCGAGCGCCTGGTATTCGGGTGTAAATTAATCGACAACATTTTAAGACGGGCGTACTCGAGATACCGATTCGAGAATCTCTTTTCTCTCTCACGTCTTTCATATACTGCCCGCCCATCCATTCTCTTTTGTATACAGTTCCTCCTTCTCCGCCATCTCCTTCATCGTGGCGCGAATTATTACAACGATTCTCCATCGCTTTCTCTCTCTCTCTCTCGGGTACCCTTGTTACCCGCCGTTAATTAGAGTACAGTCTGCTACCGACGACAACCAACTGCAAAGGAGAGTCTTCAGCGGCGCGGCGATCCTATATCCCACCACTTCGTTTCCCCTTCGCCTAAACTCACTCGGGGCTCTCTCCCGCTTGATCCACCATCACCGGAGCACGATGTTTGCGGCTTGAATTATTCCGGCGGATCTACACGCAACCCTGGATCACGCTTTAAAGGATCCGCTTGTCTGGCCCAGTCGTTACCGCGACGACATCGCTTACGACGGAGTCAGGATCTAACTGAAGGAACCTTACTAAATGGACGGAGGACGCGTAACGATCTAGAAGATTGATGCGCCACAATGGCGCGCGATAGTAGGTTCTCAGTTCCTACGGTATGCCGTGCGTTGCCTCGGACTTTGAATAAGACGACATTCCGCTCGGTGAATGTATATTACATTTGCATCGTTATGCTTACATGTGCCGAGCATATTTCTCTAAGGTGCTCCTCCGGACTTGCGTTTGTTAACGGAAACTGACTCGACATAATACGACGGATTATTTCTGACAATGAGTGAAAATACAGTAACTGAGTAATATCTCTAGATGAACTAAACACTGCATTTAAAAATTAAGATGCTAGAGCATCAGGGTACCATTCTCCGGTGGAGCGTAACTCTAATCTTGAAATGCAGTTTTTAATTTTTAGAGAATATCGGTCGCTGTGTGTTTCCTATTACAAATGTTAGCGAGTAAATCTCGGGGAAAGGAAAGGAAGAGGCGCAACTTTGAGACTTGTTCATTAAGACAAACAAGGTGAGATACGTCGGAGTTGTAGAACGGTAGTGCTTAATTTCTCACGATGAAGTTCTAGTGATTAAGACTGCGATCAGACTTGGCGGAAGTTGCAAACTCAAGGACGCTCACCTTCTCATATCAGCTTATACACGGCCTGCAACGGTAACCTTAGACATAACTGGAGAAAATTGAGTTACTTCGGGCACGTTTCAGATTGATTTCTTGGTAGCGGGGCCCTATATCTTTCTACGGAGCGTAGCGTGATTGGTTTTCAATCCGTTCTACGTGGATCGAATGATCATTCGGTAAAACTCTACTTCGGCTAAACCCTCTTGCAATATCGTTCTCTGTGTGTGCGATAATTTGATCCTGCTGTAGATACATTGTTACCGATTCCAGATCTTTCGCATTCCCCCTCGGGAGTACGTAGGATAAAATACTGTCTATCGACGACCCAATACAGTCGGTCTCCATGTTACATTTTATTATTTTCATCTTTAATGTTGCAATATTTATACTAATACAATACCGTACAATTTTTCAAATGCGATACAAAGTTTATTTTGGTAGATTTAAATAAATGCCGTATTTTATATCCGATTATTTAGGAAAGTATGACACGCAATATCGTATTTTCTATATGCACCCGCGTTATATCGCATTACACGAGTTTATGGACCGCACAATCTACTTATCAACGCAGCATCTATATGAAACAATTTCATTAATATACACAAAAGTTATGAGATCGTAAAGTGAAACAGCTATAGGTGGTAGTAATAGCTATCGATTTAAACTTGCGACGGTGATAATTAACAATAAAATATATTAAAATCGTCCAGTCTAATAAATTATGTGACGGACCAGTCCTGTAATTCGATTATTGCGACGTCCATCAGGCGGAGTGACGGCATTAACGGATAAATGTCCCAGGTTATAAAAATTTAATGTCCGTTGAGATCTGAATACTCGTGAGATTGCTTTTCTCTTAAGCGAGTATTTTATGCATTTATCATCATTCCCGGTTTGACGCTCCCCGTAACGCGGGCAATAGATTAAATTCTGAACTCATTTTTCCAGAGGAATATCATTAAAATAATTTACGATTGCATTAATGGCACATATCCTCACAGCAACGTCTAATTTGCTCCGATATCATTACATCTGGATTAAAATGTTCCCCTGAAGCGCTTTAAAGTAATATTAAATAATATTATCGTAATAAGAATTTCAGAAATTATCTAACGTACCAGTTTTATTTTACTACACCATCAAGCTTTTTGCAAAAAGTTTTAAAAAGTCAATATTAGTTCATTAAAGTAGTTATCATTGTCTATTATGTTATGTTATTTTTCAAAATTAACTATTACAACTTTCAACATTTTATATCGTGAATATTTAAAATTGAGAAATTTTACTTTGACGTCTCCTTTCTCAATTGCCACGCAGAAAGCTGATGCACCATTAATTGTACTCGTTTGCAAACTTTCAACCAGTCGTGGCTCGTTAATTGACACTATCAATCCTTCGTACTGGTTATCGTGGAGCACACTTTCGCGCTCGTCGCTATAACCCTGATTGCCAAAGTTCGAGTCGTTAAAAAAGATTCGGAGAAACGCGAAAAAATAATGCCGCGCGATATTTCATCGTTTACTGCGCCGCTTCTTTACTTCCTTTTTCGCTTTCCCGTCGGACGAATGAAAATATGTCGCGTAAAAAAGAGGAAACGCGTGTGCGCCCGTTTTGACATGTTTTTTCAGCTCGCAACGAAGCGACGCGCAGCGCGGTCCGAAGCATAATTTATCATAATGTATTATCATATGAAAATGAAGATTAGTGTACGTGACAACTGCAAATATCGCATGTTCCGCGAGCAAATCACGGAATGACAAATGAACGTTAATAAGTTACGTGTGCAGGGTATTAATGATACATTATTATGTTTTACCTCTAACAAATTTAATATTAACGTTATATTTTATTATAACATTAATATTTTTCGTTTTCCCCAAAATATTTAAATACCACTTATACTTCGCTTAACGTTACGTACGCATTCAGCGTGATTGCTTTAAGTGAAGCAACGTTAAACGTTACATTGCAACGGGCAAAGTGTATGGGTTCCTGAGATGCGATTTAGAATTTAAAATCCATAAGTTCCATCTCCACAATATTACTCAAGACAAAACTAATTAATAATGGAGTAACGTTCTAAGGAGTGACGTAAAACGGAGAATGACTGTACTTAAAAGGGAAATGGCTAGACGATATTAACTCAATTTTGTCACAAGTACCGTCTCACTTCCTCCCTATTTCGTTATCATCTCTTCATTTGCACCGCTACGGTAAAGAATAGCAATTGTACTCACTGTATCCTCCCACGTAGATCGGCGTCCATGTTACTTGTGTGTATGCCAAGGGAGTCGCTGCAAATAACACGGCGCTGAACCATACCGCCCGACGTACCGCACTCATTTCACTAACGGTCTCGATAGTTGTCATTTTTCTCTCTCTCTCTCTCTCTCTTTCGTTTCAATCAGTTCTCCGCCACGATATCATCTTCTCCGACATGCCTCCGCTACTCCTCTCCGTTTTTTTAACGCTCGTTTCTTCCGCACGTTCCTCTCTTTCCCCTCTTTTTTTTCGTCCGAGCGCGGGCGCACAACAATACGTCACAGCCGTTGAATATCTACGCAATCGAACGAAACTCTCGATACTGCCGTCATTTTATCTCGTCGCGTCTAACAGCTGGTATTTTCATATCATGGCGAGGAGTCGCCCGACGGATGATAGCTCGAAGGAAATTATAAAAATACGCTGCGCCGCGTAATTTCTACATCGCATAATATTTATGCGCGATTTCAATCAAAGAGCTCTTGAAAGAGGAATTTCATTAAAGCAAGTCTGCGCATTAAGAGGAGCGAAGGATCGACATGCGAACGGATTGTCGAGGGATGAGGGATTCAACGATATTAATTTTGAAGGTCCGAATAGAGAAGATATCAAGATGTGCCGGTGACTGAAGGGTGAAGCGTTTTTATTCGGTTCGCGAGTAATTAATCTCTTGCGAATTCTAGGTCACGGTCGAGTACGAAGGTACGACATAATCGACTCGCCGGGCAGCGAAATTAATTAATTAAGCGCGATCACGCGTCTCTCCCCGCTCTAATTGGTGCTCGACGTGAGATTAACACGTATATGACGCCATTGGCGACGGATATGGAAATTTAGAATCAAGGAACAGCGGCCCGCCGTTGTTTATCAGACGCACTTTTTCCACGTCATTGAACGAGAGGGCTTTATGTCACGTAAAATTTTGCACTCTCGCTGCCGTTATTCCTCTTCCCAGACAGAATCTTCATTTCTGCGCGAGTCTTGATTTATGCACCCTATACTTCACGCTCCTTCTTCTCAGAACGTATTACTCCGTTCCTTCGGGTATAACATGAAGACACAATCATCGCCTCTACCGACGGCGATCGCGAGAGTAACGGCCTTCCCTTCTCTCTCTCTCTCTCCCCCCCCCCCTCTCCTCTACCCTTTCTTTTTTACGCTCGTAACATGTGCCAAGCCATTTCCACTATTTTCCGCCTTTTTTTCTTTCCTTTGGGTTTCTCTGCCGGACTCCGGTTTTCCTCGCTCTCTGACGGAATTAGACTCATGTAGATTTTTACTCGTCTTCGTAAATCCTTCAATGACTTTGCCCAGATCAAAAAGCTTTCTCCGTCGATACGAGATCCCGCCTGCAACAAAATAGCAAAATATTTCATTAGAGGGGTTCCTTTGACGGATGATCATTAGGAGATGAAGCACGGATAGGTCTCAAAGAACTTTCGTGAAAAATTCCAAGGCTAAGGGAGACTATTGGAACTTATTTTCAACGAATGTGCACGACTGCCGCAAAGCGGCTTTTACAGATTGAAGTGTTTGCCGTTTGTTCATAACATTTTTCATGCAGAATTTTTGTTCCGGTAACAATAAAAAGGAAAAAGGAAAATTGAAAATTTTTACGATTACGTACAGACAACATAAATATGCAATAATATTATTTACATATAACAAGCCGTTTTAATCATTGATAAATTGTAAATATTATACATATATTATTACATCGTATGTAAAACACATGTGTTAACGTGTAGCATCGGTTACTCGGAATTATATTATTTAAAATAATACGCTGCTTTGATCCAACTGCACAGTAATTTTTTCCAAATGCAGTATCAATACGAAATTCGTAAAAGTATACCACAAAGGGAGGTAAAAAATGTGCGTTTATTTAAGCATGTATAAAATTCTATCAAATGAGAAATTTCTCCCCTCTACTCCTCAATGTTCACTAATTATTATCTAATTTACTGGAATATAAAACGTGAGGTCACGTAATAATTATGTCACGCGGTTACTTTAATTTCCGTCACGTCTCGATCGAAATGAAATTCATATCGCGCCGAGCGAGGTGAGACGCGCATAGTTTCTGGGACTCAGCTGCACCGGCATTTGCATTTTCATCTGCTTGGAAATGTCGTCGATGTCTCGTTAGCGTATCTCCATCGAGGCGACGAGCGATGCATAAGTCGGAGGTCATGGTTCCCCATAATGTTTCACGACGTCGCAAGCGAGGACTTGGAGGCCGACGGGAGACGACGACCCCATTACGGTGACGCCAGGGGGGGGGGGAGGGACGGAGACGGAGGTTGACGATTCGGTCGTTCATAATGTGACAAGCCGAAGTTATTCCGTCGTTCTGCTGCCGAGTGTTATTCACTCGTCGTTATCTATCGTCGCCGGTTCCACCACGAGCTTGTCCAGCAGTTATGAAAGCCACTCGGCGTTCTGCAAGGACGACCTTTATGCACTCGCTCATATAGCGCATCGGTGGACGATCAGGTGCTTAGCTGCAGGGACCAAGGGTACCTGTTCTTGTCTCCCCTCTCCCCCTTCTTTCCTTTACTATGCACTTATCGCTCGTCCGCCTTATTAGCCCGCGCTATCTTCTTATCTGCTCTTAACACTGCTTTAACCGAGATTCCTGAACACTTTCCTACACCGTAGCATTTTCCGGTCTACGATCACGTTCAAAGTAGAGAGCAACTTGCAACTTTCGCCGTCGTATCATTTCAGGATAAAGAAAGTAACTCCGTTAAGGACATTTCTCTCAAGTGTGTAAACTCAACTCGCGTAAATAATAGCATTTTATGCTTTTCCTTTTTCTTCATCCAGCATTCACTGGACAAAATTCGTTTCTCTCCTGTCCCTCGCGTGTCTCTTTTTACACCACTATTAGAAATGAGACAAGAGAAACAGTGGACAATAAATAATTACCTTTTTTCCCCACCAAAATAGATAGAAATGGTTCTACTCGAAAAAATTTACGCAGTCTGACCAGACGCTGACTTTATCCACTGCAATTTGTCTACGATACAATTGTAATATTTAGTGCAGCGTAACTTTTTTATCGTACTTCCAATTATTTTTTATCGCTGCTATAAACACAAACGATATTTTTAGTCGATTAAACTGTATTTTTTAGCACGTTTGGTACAAATCGTGCTTTTGCGATCTTTAGCTAATTCATATTACCGATCTCGCTTTCAACAACCATTATACTTTGTCCCTTGCATACGATTCTCCAATTATAATTCGCCACTTCAGACACCTCTGTCATAATCGAGTCAAGTTTCCTCTTCAGAATGATGTCTCTCCTTTTATTCTTCCCCCTTTTTAACATCTCCATCGAAACGACTGCCGTTGTGAACGAGTTCATCCCAAAGGTGTCGATGTAGTTAACTTAATCCAGGTGCTGATTGGGCGTCGAGCCGGAGAACAGTGATCGAAATAGAAGAAGAAACGTGTAACTGGAGTCGGCATAAAGGAGCGAGAGAGAAAGCCGCAAGTGGCTTGTAATTGTGCCATGCAATTATGGCTAGTTCCATTTAAATAAAACCGACCAAACGGTAAAAGAGGGTTCCGATGAAGGGAGAATCAGCAGTTACCAGAATGTCAACGACACAAAGGCCGGGTCAGCTCTGTTCCATCCCGTTCTTTCTCCACTTCTTTTTTTCTACGTCTCTCTTCGGTCCTGCAATCTGCAATTTGTGCTTCCCGCTCGGAAATGTTTTCTATCCGAATTGTCTCCGTTCTCAGTTATTACGCTTTACTATATGCGGACAAGTAGAAATGCTGAGAGAGAAAAATAATACTGATTGAGAGAGGGGGGGGGGAGATTTGTAATCGTGCATCTTTCGCACGTCGCCAAGGCAGACGGTAAAGTTTAATGTTCATGCCGAAACTAAATGGCCAAGTTCTCCATAGGGAAGATCAAATGTCCGAAGAGGCAAATAGGTACGAGTAAATAACATTTCTCGTTGCAAAGATAATTACTCGGGCCGCAATTCGCGCGAGTTCACGCCGTGTGTCTGAAGTTTGCCTCGCTTCCTCTCCCCCTCCTTTCCTCACCCTTTGTCTAGCCCTGTTTCTTGATGCCCCGGCAACTCCTCGTTTAGCACCGCCGCAAATTAGCCTGCAACCGCGTTTTCCGCGTCCATCTACAAGCACTGCAACGCGCGCGTCGTTTTCGTTTCAAGGTAGAGCACATGTTCTTTGGCTAAGACTTAATTAAAGGAACGCTATCTCTTGTGGGAGATATAGACCGTGCTGCCTATTTAATTTAAATGTTCATTAAATGTTCATTTAATAAGGCGAAAAGAATTATGCAGGATTCAATCAATTCTCGACTGGAAAGGGTTGCCAAAAGTATAAATAATATATAACGGCTGTGAGCTGTACGCACAGCTCTCGCACAGGCGTGCCTTTGATTGAGGAAAATTTTCTGCCTTACGAAAATTTGAATTACATCAGAGAATGCGCGAAATAAATTGATAACCGTATATATTATTATATGGGAGGAAAATGGTTGGATATTAGTAATAATTCTTCGCGTCCGTCGTGTCTCGCGACAGTGAAGACAATAACGTTCAGGATAATTAATTCGCTAATCACTGTTGTAAATGTGCACGGCTATTGAATGCGCGACGAACCGTCATAATTATTAATCGAGTTAGGCATCAATTAGACGGAATATCGATTAATTGCGCATCAGAATGTATCTTAGCCCGTCCATAATCACGGCACCCGATTGTCTGTGGCTTTAGGTGACTGTGCGTTTCATAGTATAATTAATCATCTGACCATCCTGCCGATCAAACAACTCGAAGTGCTGTTTCTTGCGAGGTTGTAGCTGTAAATTCTAAACTAACGAGCAAAGTCATTCGTGCGTTGCACTAAGATTAACGCATATATAACGATACCGAGTAACAAAGTCACGACTGCTACATAAAATTTTATCGCAAGGCGTAGAAGATAAAGCTAAGTAAACTAGTTAACTGTTAGTTCAAATTATTAAATCCGGTATCGTTGTGCGTGCTCGTGAATTCTCTACCATTACAGTTTAATCATTCATATCCCGAGTATTGCACAAAAATTGTACGAATTGTTGGTGAATATTTGTAAACTTATCAGGAAACATATTCGGCCAGTATTTGTTGAAATATGTAAAGTAGAAGCAGGGCTATGCTTGCGGCTTTGGTTGTGGTTTGCTGTTATAGTTGGAAGATATATTCTTGGATAAGACTGTATGATAAAGATATATGCATCGAGCATTAATATTCAGGTCAGACCGAGCGTGAA